AGAAACTGCAAAACCGTCACTCTCTGAAGCATTTGAGGTCTTGCTCCTGGGCATGTGGTCGGTTTGGCTCAAATAAAATCTTATAAAATTGTCTATAGGTTTGGACACTCTTACTTGCAATCGGGGGCGGGGGGGGGGGGGGAGGGTCATGTACAGGAAATGCAAAGGGTTAAGTCCACAAAAGGGTGAAATCCTGTCTAGGCCACATTCTTTCCACAAACAATGTAAGATATAAGTTTCCCCCCTGGTGTTAATTATAGGAAATCCTGTAACTTGCTCTAGCCCCTCCTTATCTCATTTATGAGTCCTTGAGTGGAAACAAAGAGCTCCTGTGGTTTCCAGAGCTGAGCACTAGGCTGCCCTGGCTGGTGAGCAAGTGACCAGCAGAGGGCAGTGCAGACCCACACACTGATTTCCCGTCCAATGAAGTCAGGACCTGGAGCGTGCCTACACGTTTGGACTGGGGAGAGAATCTGCTCTTGGCTACTGAGGCTTTTTACATTTGCTGCTGCCTCAGCAGCTGGAGGTTCGGATTAAATGGCCGGTTGTGTCACGACCTGTCTTACGTATTTCTCTTTTTGTGATGCAAATGAATGAGGAGGCTGGACGCCTGGCCAGGCCGGTTGCAGAGCCCAGAAGACCTACCTTCTGCACTTGGGGCTTGCAGGTGGCCTGGCCTGTGGCCTGGCTGTCACCTGGAGGCTCAGGGTAGCCTAGGTCTCATGCAGGCTCCTCAGAACTCAGCGTGTGGCCCCCTCAGGCGTGGGGCTCCAGCCAGTCTGGGTCCATGGCTGGCTCTGACATTTTAACGGCTGGAGTGAGTATATAAAACACAGTTTCCTTAAACTCCCCTGAAGATATAACTCATTCCATCTTCAACCTCATCCCTTCTGCATACCCCTTTCACTCCAGTGGAAGGACTTCTTTCCAGAAAAAAAGAAAAAGAAAAAATATCTTATCCTTAACTGATGGTTTTAGTCCCAGGCATCTGAAGCACATAGAACTTAATAGATGTGCCATTAACCTTTCTTGTATGAGTGCCCAAAACTCAGGGTGGCCTCAGTAAAGAATTTTATAAGAAAACATCAGAGGCATTTAACCAGCTTTGGGCCCATGGCAAGCTTTTCAGAAGAAAGTGAAGTCTTTGCTAACCCTACTTCCCCTGCTTCTAATGTTGCTTCTTTACTCTTTTCTTATCCTTTTTATTCATTAATATTCGGGCTCAAGAGCAAAGGAAAGTAAACTTTCCTTACCCTCCCCCACCCCCCAGGTATATCAGATGCCTCCAGCAGTCAAGATACAATACCTTGCAAAAGACAGAACCCAACACCATCTCACATGTCGGGGAGTGCTGAACGGACCGTGAGCACTTTGGGGACCCAGCTGAGGGGAAGTTAAACTAGAGATACATTCAGTTGGGGTTACAAATAAGTACTGTACTGTTACTTCGTTATATTGTTAGATTATTACCATCCATCCAGGAATACTCCTGTATGTACTCAGCATGGCATACAAAGGCAGAGGGCCAGGGATCATGTCATCACATGGAAATGTCCTGCGATGTCAGAGCAGCGATAGAAAGACAAAGTTTGCCATGTATGGAGCCAGGCAAAAAGTATCAGGGTAATTAATACAAATATGATGTTATTTGTCTGGGTTTTATAATACTTATAGTGGTTGTCAACTTTTCTCATTCTTAAAAAACCCTCAGTATACCAATTTTAAATGTAAATGTTTGCATTTTTTTATTAAAGAGGACGCCCCCAAAATCATGAGTTTCAGGAACCAATAAAACCTAGATCTGCCTTTGTTCACATCAGACGCAGTGACCACAGAGCCCAGGCTCTAGTAGGCAGGGTGTCTTGGAACTGTCTGTGGTGCTGGAACCCAAGTTCACTGGCCTCTCTCCATGGTGCCTCCTGAGTAAGCTTGTCTACGCCAATAAATTGTGCCCAGAGACGAAGAGTCGGGACTTTTCACTGAGGTCATGATGGTTCATGCGTAGAAATGGATGCTTGGCCCATGCAGTGACTATAAAAAGAGAAGAGAGTTGAAGAGAAAACCACAGATGACTCCCAAGAGTCAGGGAAACCCACAAGACAGGGGCACCAAGAGTATCAGCTAGAGAAAAACATTGACCACCAAGCCATGCCTGAGTCGAGGCCAAAGGTAGAGAGGAGGGACCTGGTGAGGAGGGGGACGTAGCAAGAACAGGCTACACTGGGGTGGGGGCTGTCTGCAGGAAAGAGAGAAGAGTGACTGGGGGGGTGGCCTGAGAGGAAGCCCTGGGGCAGAACACAGACCCTTCCCATTGAGCTTGTGGAGGACACACTGACTAAGCTGAGACTTCACCCCCACATCCCCATGGGAGAGCCTCTCTGAGTCAGAATAGATGTAAGTGACGGTTTTATACAGGCTTCCGGCGTCCGTGAGGATGTGTGGCTGACTGTCAGAATCTTGTCTCTGCTTTGAGGGGGGCGCTCAGTTTCTTGAGAAGTTGGGGGTGTCTGGACAGTGAGAGAAGGCCAGGGTCCAGGCCCATGAATGACTTTCATCCAGCTTCACGGGGTGAGACTGGGCCCCCGAAGGATGCACATGCCACCGCCGGAGTCGTGATGTAGCAGGCAATGGAGTCTTAGGAGTCAATTTCCATGAGAAACACGAGAAAAGCAGGGACCATACCAGGAGCAGGGCTGACACATGTCTTTTTACTGGAACACACTGGGGGGGCTGAGGGGTGACTGTGGGTGACAGGAGGCTCTCATCCCCTTTTGCACTGCCATCTATCATCAACCCTCACCTCTTCCAAATGAGCTAAGGCAAAGCGTGTGTCTGCTCAGCCAGCGGACCTTCTGACATAATCGCCCTTTGTTGTGTGTTGAGCTGCTCCCCCCGCCCCGTCCTCCCCCCCGCCAGCCGCCCAAAGACACGTTGAAATCCTAACTCCCTGTCAAGGTGATCTTATTTGGAAATAGGGTCTTTGCAGATCTTATTAATATGAGGTCATACTGGACTAGGGTGGGTCCCACATCCCTCTAAGAGGAGCAGAAGACAGGGAGGCAGAGAGACACAGAGGGAGAAGGCCAGGCGGTGACTGAGGAAAGACTGGAGGGATGCGTCCACAAGCCAAGGAATGCCAGGTGCACAGCAACACTAGCAGCCGAGAGAAAGGCACGGGGCAGAGTGTCCCTTGGGCCTTCTGAGAGCACCGCCCTGCCAACACCTTGCTTCTGCACTTCCCAGAACTGAGAGAATTGATTTCCGTTGTGTAAGCCGCCCAGTTCATGGTGATTTGTTATGGCCCCAGGAAGTGGCACACCCTTCCTTGGACATGGTCATTATTTCATATGCGGTGCATTTGTTCCTGCCGGTACCTCTACATGGAATGCTCTTCCCTGAGGTGTTTGCAAGGATCCCCCCAGGATGGGCCAATGAGGCAGGAGCAGAACACCCAGATGCTTAAATGCCTGCATCTTGGATAGGCCTTCTCAGCCTACCCACCCACTCCCAGTACTTACTATTTATGGTGCATTTGTTCCTGCCGGTACCTCTCCATGGAATGCTCTTCCCTGAGGTGTTTGCAAGGATACCCCCAGGATGGGCCAATGAGGCAGGGGAAGAAAGCCCAAATGCTTAAATGCCTGCATCTTGGATAGGCCTTCCTGGCTGCCTGTCTCAGCCTACCCACCCACTCCCAGTACTTACTATTTATCAATGGCTTTACTGTCTTCCTGACACTTTTCTCTACCTGAAGTCACCTCATTTCTTTCCTTTATGTAGAAGGTAAGCTCCTGACAGCGGGGCCCTGATCCCTGAGGCTCACCAGTGACACAGCAGCTCCCAGCACACAGTAGGTGCTCAAGAAATACTTGATAAATGAGGAGTTAGATGCTCAGTAAGCAGGTGTTGACTAAATAAATGAAAGCCACAGGCCTTCTTGCCACCATCCTCCTTCTAATAAAGTTGACATCCCTAAGCCTCTCCGTTATAGAAATTTAGGAAACAACTTTTTCAGAGCCCAAGAAAAATTATATCTACATTAGCCTCTTACAACACGGCATCCTGAAAGTTAGGAGAGCTCTTGGTGCCTGAATTTCACACGTGCAATCATCACCTTTGCCTCCAGAACAGGGCAGGGAAGCCAGCTTTATTCTCAGACCAGAAGGACGCTGCAGTGGGCGTCCACCAGGGGACAGTCTAACCAAACTGAAGGCTCAGACGCATCGAAATTGAGTTCACTGGAAGGCAACAGACAGAAATTAAAAGACCAAAAAAATAAGGTGAATGACATCATTACTCCGATAATCTTCCACGTGAATGCAAGATTCATTTGTAGAAGCCACGAGGGAGCAGATGGCACCCAGGAAACGCAGTCACGAGAGAGCAGGGATGGAGGCAGCCAGCGGGGGTGCGAGCGTGCCTCACACCCCCCTGCAGTGGTTCCTGTGGGTGGGCATCGCCGCTCCCTCAGTTCTGACTGAGGACCCCCAGACGGACTCTATGATCCAGGATGGAGACTGCACCCCTGGTTTGTTCCCAGTGGCGTCGGGACCACCACCTACACCCCTAAAGATCTGGGGGTTTGAGGCTATGGCACAAACTACTGTTTGCCGGCCAGAACCCATTCTCTCCTTCCAATGTTATGGGGTGCAGTGACGTGTGGCCATGTGATCACCTGTTGGCCAATGAGACGTGAGCCAATGTGAGGCTTCTTTAAAGAGAAATGACTGGGCCAGAAAGAGCTCATCGGCCTCCCTCACTCTCGCCTGGGCCTGTGTCTGAAACAAACCCACCAGCCTCCCAGCCTCCCAGCCCCACGAGGCGCATTTGGCCAATGGCCTTTTCCGGTTGCAGGGCCACCGGCTAACTCCCCATTGACACGCCATCTTCAGAGTGGCCCGCCCATCCCCGGAGGGCCTGGCTCTGTCCTTGCCCAGCCTGCAGCGGACATTCATTATTAAGGGTTTTGTAAGACAATCGCCAAGTCTGAGCCACCAGGAAAAATGAGAAGACATTTATTGAGTCGTCTACAGCAGTTTGACATCCTCAACATCCCGGACGAGGTGTGAGCACAGCATTAATAGTGGCAGCGGGAGCGGGTCTGTGTGGCTGGTCTTTACCGAGCGAGATGGAGCCCAGGCTGACCCGGCTCCCACAGGGGGTCCTGGAGCCGCGTCTGGGATGCCAGGGTGGTCCCACGCTGGTCCTCACAGGGGCAAAGCGACGGAAGACGGACACAGCACAAGACACATGTGGCCAAGCACACACACCCCAGGACTGGAGTTCAGGGAAGGAGAGGGAATGGTCACGCGGCCCACTCGAGGGACGTCCCAGATCTCTGGAGGATTCCCATGGGTGGCAGGGGACGCTGACAGCACCCACGTCCTAACCCAAGAACAACCTGACTCATGATGGAGAGACCCCTGGCATGGTGTCCATCGGGGCCTGGCCTCGCCTCTCCCTGGTGCTGGTAGGTTTCTACAGGCGGGACAAAGGTTACCCCAGGAGGGCTCGGGGCAGTTGACAAAGAGCACAGGGAGCCTTTCGGGGGTCTTCCCCCGATAACCATTCCCACCCCCGTGTGGTCACCAAAGCCCTTTCTCACAGGGGTCTCACTGCCGCCCCTTCCCTGGCCCGTGGACAGACGCACAGCGTGTCCTCCCGCTTCCCAAGTCGGGAAGCAGCGGCCCAGAGAGGTTCAGCCAGGAGGGGCAGCCCGGGGTGGCACACAGGTCCCCCACATCACGGTGACCCCGCCACCCCTCCTGCACTCCGGAGTCCTAACAGCTTCTGTGGCCAGAGCCCTGCCCTGCGCCGGGCGGAACGTGTTCTGAACAGATGCTTCCCTGAGGGTCTCATGGGGGGCCCCGTGCAGGGCCCTGTCCTCACACATATTTGCACGGGATCCCAGCGGGTGCAGGGCCAGGCTAGGCCCACCTGCATTTTGTCATCAGCCCAAGAGGGAGGTTGGACCTCCCAGCTCTAGTACTTTGTGAGTCACCCTGAAGACGCACAGAGGAGTCAGGGCCAAACAGCAGGCCGGCGGCAAAGCCGGGAGAAACCCAGGTCCCTGTGCCCTGGTCACGAGGCTCAGGTAGGAATCTATGGTGACAAAGCACTCACTGCTTTCACTTTGGAGTGGCCTTGAGGGGGTCAAGGGGACTCACAGAATGACAGGAAGCCTCTCCCAGCTTTCCTTCCGGAAGGGACAGGGTCAGGAGGAGGTGAGAGCACCCTGGGTGGGGGGTGGCCTGGGATGTCAGGCCCCCAGAGTAGCCAGTTCAGGGAGGGGAGGGGTCCGAGAAAGACAGGCCCTTGGGTGGGTCAGAGAGCTGCCCACTAGACAGAGGATGATGTGGCCTGGCCTCAGGCATAGGGACAGTCATGAAGCTCTCAGTCCTGGGGGCCACCAGAGCCTCTGAACTCCCAAATCTCACACTCTGACCCCTCACAGGCTCCCTGCCTGAGTCCCGCTGCCCCAGGGCTGGGCCTTTCCGACACTGCCTCACCCCCAGGAGGACTCAGCCTCCCCTGGGGAGCTCTGTCCTGCAGGTTGCATGGAGCAAGAATCGCCCCCTTCCTGGCGAGGACCTTGTAGAAACACGGAGTCCGGAACTCGGCTCCTCCCCAGCCTCCCCACTCCCCACGTCCTCCCCCTCCTCACTCAATGCGGCTTCTCATCCTTCCCACACCAGGCAGACACAGATCCTTGCCGGGGCCCATTCCCAGCAGATGACTGGTGTTTAGACGGAGAATCCAGAGGTGCAATGGACGGGACAAACCAGCTAGTCTTACTGTCCATTTTACAGATTTGAAAACAAAGGACCAGAGGGCGAGGCTGTCCCCGGACCTCATGCTCTCGCCCCCCATGCCTGTGACCCTGAAGGCCAGCTGCCTAGCCTCCTGGAACATCCCAAATGCGGCAGGGACCTCGGCTGACACGACGGGCAATCGTTGGTTCAGAGAGAAAAACAAAGTGACAAACCAGCGGGAACCTGGGGCCCACGAGGACCCAGGCCCAGGGCTCAGGCGGCAGCACGGGGAATTCGGGGCTGGTTTTGTTTTTGCTGATCTGTGGTCTCCATAGAAAGTCACAGCCTCTCTCTCACAGTGAAACAGGCCTACTGATGGGGCAGGGTGAGGAACAAGGGCCATGCTCGGGGGACCCCCTCCCATGATCTGGAGGTGACCACTGTCCCGGCCAAGGTCAGGGCTGGGTCTGCACACCATGCCCAAGGCACTGGTCCAGTTGTCCCTTGCCCGACCCTTCCCTCCAGCCCACCAGCTTCCACTGTGGTGTCCACGTGGAAGAGGCCGCTGTTCCATTCCTAAGAATAAGCAGCGCCGCCCACACACCTACTCAAACGTACACATCCAGACCTTGGGTGACGCCCTTTACCCGCTTTCCACCTGGACTGGAGGATTACGGAAGCACAGAGCCCGGAGACGCATTAGTCCCCTCACCTCCCAAATGGGGAAACTGAGGCCCAGACAGGGAGCGCTCTGTCCACAGGCCCAGTGGTCTGAGCCTGACAGGGGCAGGCCCCCTGTCTCTGAATCCCAGGCTGTGGCCCCTTCCAAGCCGCTCAGGCCCCTCGGAGTGCAAGGTGGCCCGTGGACACCCCTTTGGGTAACACACTTGTCTCGCAGAGCAGGGGAGGGGGGTCACGAGGTCAGAGGCCAGACGGAAGGACCGCGGCACACCCCACGGCCAGCCCGCGTCACCAATGTGCCCAGGAAGCGGAGGCAGCTCCTCACCCTCTGATTTTGCCAAAGACCCAGGGCCTCCTGTTCTCTAACCCACACAGCTCAGCCTTACCCGGTCGCTCCGACGGCCTCTCCAATAACGAGCAGCTCACAAGCCAGGCCCCTTCCTCCTTCTCACACCAGACAAAGCCAGCTTCACCGTCCACCCCAGCTCCCCAGCATCCCAGGCCACGACCACGAAGCCAGTCCACAGACACTCAGCCGGGACATCAGAGCTGACACGGCACGACGCCAGGCCCACACGCGGTGTCCCCACACTCGAGGCATGCATGGCGCTCCGACGCTATCCTCCACCCCACCCCACACCTGGGTCTGACCCATTTCCTCCTCACACTGTGGGGGGCCAGGACTGGGCTGGGGTACCCAACTCCTTCTATCTGCAGCTTCTCCTAAGAGGCATGGAGGGTGTGGCTTCCCCTTCAGCATCGAGGACACCCCAGCATCTTTCCTATGACTCAAGAGCACACAGGGGTTTTCGCCCTGGTCTCAGAGAGACTTCCTAGCTGAGGCGCAGCCCCAGGAGCTAGTGGCTGGGGCTCCTCGGGGTGGCGAGGGGCAAGGGGGGGGGGAGTAAGGGGGCCCACGGAGGGCTAAGGTGCTTCATCCTAGTCATGGCTTTGACTGAGGGGAAGGGAGCTGGGAGGACTTGGGGTTCTATGTGGTGGATGTGGCTGGGGAGCAGTTATTCCCAGGCATCCATCTCTCCTTCCACAGCTGATGCCTGGGGCAGGGGGGAGGGGGCAGGGGGGGGGCAGAAGAGAGGCTACCGGGCGATTCCCTGCCCACATGCGTCCGGGTGAATCACAGAGATGGTGAAGGCTTCCATGGGTCCTTCCCCGTCCATCTCCTTCCCATCAGATGCACATTTCCAGCTCTTGGCCGTCTTCCACGGGCCAAATGAAAAGCACCAGAACATTCCCCAACCTTTAGCCCCGCACCCAGACTGCAGTCTCAGAAAGGAAGCGCCCTGGAGCGGTCCCACCGCCCGAAACCCAGGAGCTGGGCACCCGGACACCGAGAGGTTGGGCGAGCAGGAGGGCCTCACATCTGGCCTGCGCTGAAGGCCGCTCCGGCATCCACGTGGGACCCTGGATGGCCTCGGTGACGGGCAGGCCTGAGAAGGGCCCCCCGCTGGCAAGGAGTCCCCTCGAAAGTCAGACACTCTGAGAGGCTGTCCGGCAGGCCCCACCCGAACCCCCAAAGCAAGGGTGTCGGCCTCAGGACCAGGTCAGGCGCTCGCTGAGGCTGGGGGGGCGGGGGCGGTGGAGCTGGGACCTGCTGGGGGTGGGCAGGGCCACTGGACGAAGGGACCGGGATGGTACAACTTTCCCACATCTGATGAGTATTTACACGTGTGGGGTCAGGGCCCAGGGGTCCGTGGTGGGTGGGGCCAGCGCCAAATTAGAAGGGGGGCGAAATACCCTCTGCACCTGCATCCTCCTCCCCCCTCGGGGAGCCCGGCTTCTGGCCCAGGGCCTGCCCGAAGGGAGAAAAGAGGCAACATGCGTGGCCGGCGCCCACCGGCAGCCCAGCCTGGCGTGAGGAGAGGAGGGCGGAGGGGGCTCAGGTGGCCAGATTGTCGGCCGGGAGGCCGGACATGCGGATCTGGGAGCTGCTCTTGCTCAGGATGGAGAGCTGGGTGCCCCCGTTCACCCCGCTGCTGGCCAGGGATGGGTGCCGGTGCTTGAAGTCCACGGCGAAGTAGCGGTTCACCTTCCAGCTCCGCCACTTACGCTTGATCTCCGCCTGCACCTGCAGGGAGCAACAGGGCCGTCACGTCCCAGCAACATCCTCTCCGACCTCCCTTGTCCACCTGCCTCCTGCCCTGGGGCCTGCCCCGACTGGCACGGCCACCTCCAGCCGCGCCCAGCCCACCCCCAAACGGCAGCTGGCAGCCCGGCCCCCAGTGGGAAAGGAAGGCCTGTGAGGATCGGACCGAGCCCCGAACCCACGTTGCTGCTGAGCCAGGCCCGCGAGTGGCTTCCTGGAGTCCATGGCCTCTCGTGTCCACAGCCAGTGACCAGCAGCCAGGGGCCTTCAGGAAGCTTTGCAGCGCTGGCCCTGGGCGGATGGATCGGGGCAAGGCACCCTCTTGCTGACCATCAACATGCGCTGCACGTTAGACTCGCGTGGAGAGCTTTAAAAACCCAGACGCTCAGACCTGACCCCCAACAAGCACATCAACATCTCTGGGGAAGTCCTGCGCCTGTTTGAAAACTCCCAGGGACTCCAGAATGCAGTCCGGGCTGAGAACCACAAATAATGCACCCCCTGGGCGGACACTGCCCCTTTGATCTTAGCATGGTGTTTGGGGGGCACTCCCCATTTCTGTCTTTGTGCGCCTCCCGTCCAGAACCTTGGTGTGGTGGGGTGCACAGACTGCACAACTGGAAATGGTACTGGCACCTCTCCAGCCCAGCTCCCCGTTCATAGCAGCCCCGGGCAAGCCCGTGTCCTCCCCGCCTCCCCTCTGCCTCTCCGGGTCTGGCCTGGTCTGGCCTTGCTGCAGGGTGCCGGCAACCACTGAACCAAATCTTCTTTCTTACATGCAGAGTGGGGAAGCCCACCCAGGCCTCCAGCCAAGAACCAAGCCTGGT